CTTTTTTCTTTTTTTTTTTCCGAGTGGCCTTTACAATGAATTTTAGATCTCAGGTGAAACAGAGAGAAAGCCATGAGAGCAGCAGTTCAAATCCACCAGCCACTCCACAGGGGAATGAGGAGGCCGTCTGCTCTGGTAGACAAGTACGGCCTCAGGAACCCTACGCAGCACAGTCTGAATCTCCCCTAGGACTGCTCTGAGTTGGAACTGACCAACAGCAGTGGGTTTGGTTTGGGGGAAGGCAGACAACCAAGTAGGAGAACCTAATCTGCTGTGCAAGCTTTTACCAAGACCAGATACCATGGGGAGGAGGGGCTGTGTGTTAGCAGGGGGAGAAAGAAAGAAGCAGGGAGCAGGACCTCTGGCCATTCGATTGGGTGGACAGGGACTGAACTGCTCCTCTCTATCCCACAATCCTACCAATAGCCATGGGACCCTTTCCAGTCAAGTCTTCAGATGAGGCCGCAGCAGAGGGGACACCTTGACTGCAGCCTTGCGGGAGGCCCTCAGGCAGGAGAACCCGGCTCTGCCATGGCCACACTCCGGGCTCACAGAAATCATGAACAATACATTCTTGCTATTGTAAACCACTGAGTTCGGGAGCAATTGCTTACAGCACAATAGGTACACTCCCAATGAGACATCAGAGATAAAAGGTCAGGATGAAGACAGGAGGGCTTCCCAAAGGGTTGGAGGTGGATGCCATGCAAAGCCGAGACTGCATTGTTGCCAAGTCAATAGCTATGTTACTTGAATCACAACCTTTTACACCAAGGGTGCTCTCTGCTCCCACCAACCAGAACAGAGAAGTGGACCAGCACCCCAGGGCTGGACCGCAAATCAACCTTCCACAACACGGAGATTTATAAACTGCCTTCTACAGCAAACATTTCAACAAATATAGCTTCCTATGACAAAATCATCATCTCAAAAAATCAAATCCTTAAAAAATACCAGATACCCTCCTAAGGACCCCACATGAGGGAGGAGAGCTGTCCCACTGGGTTTCCAATGCTGCAATCTTTATGGAAACAGACCACCAAGTCGTTCCCCCATGGAGAGAGTGGTGGGTTTGAACTGCTGAGCTTGAGGTTAGCAGTCCAGCACCTAACCACTGCACCAGCAAGGCTCAATAGACCTTGGGCCTATTAAATGAAATCTCCTGTTATCACTTGTTTACTTGGATAACATTTCAATGTTATGAAGCCCAAGTACAAAATAGACTGATTTAAAATGACTGAAAGCTGAGGGTCAATCTCCAGTCTACCTTACCTACTAGAGGCAATTGGTTGACGCCATATCCCGTGTTCTTATAGCACCTGAATCCTCTTAAGGTTTCTGCTATAGATGCATGGTCTTTGATCTTGTCTTAATCTTTATCAAGGCTGAATTAAAATTGTCTGGGGGTCATAAAGTGGCCAATACGATCCAGGGGGCTACAAAAGCAGATACCTACACTTCCTCCTGGACCATGGGCTGTAGTACAAGCTTTTCATTGCCAGGGGGACACCGAGTCATTTTTGCTTGACAAGGGGGAGGATGGTCATGTAAGTTTGGGAACCTATGTTCTAGCACAGAGTGAGGAATGTCCAGCCCACAGGGTATGTACCAAATCAAACTCACTGCCATCATGTCAGTGCTGACTCAGTGCGACCCCATGTGGGTTTCTGAGACTATCACTGTTCCCAGGAATATGTTCCCAGAAATGTTCTGTAGAAAACGTTCCCAGAAAGCCCACTCTTTCTCCCAAGGAGCTGCTGGTGGTTTTGAACTGCTGTTCATGCAGATCCAAGCCCAACATATAACAACTACACCACCAGGGCTCCTGCAAGCCATATAAGGCCTGGAAAATCATCCATACCAAGTGCCATCACATATTCTACTAAAGAGAAGCAGTTCCAGCCATCACGTTAGGAGTGAGTTAATTAAATGTTGGACGGTACGGCCATCGAATGATGTTATAAGCATTCAAAATGGCCCTTGGCAGAAAGATGGTTTCCCGCCCCTGCTCTGGAGGGAGGCATCCTTTGTAAATGCACACTTTTCTTACACTTCTGGACCAATAACGTGATGGCAGG